TTTTTAACCTTTTTTTTCTTAACTTATTTCAATTTAAAATTTCACAATCGTTAGAATTCTTTTAAACTGCCGCCACGTCTCAGTTTTGTTAATCTACGCAGACTGCCTACACCCATGCCCACACCGCACCCACTCATTGACGGAGATGTACTTAATGGTGATACGCTGTTGCGTTCACGCATTACAAAGGAGCCACGAAAACGAACTCGTCCTCTACGTTCCAAAGTAGTTAGATTAGCTGATTGCTGTAAATAAACATTGATTCCAGCATTGGTTGCTACTGATTGGGTTGTTTTTGTTGTCGATGCTGCTGTGGTTAAAGGTGTGACTTTGCGTTGCCACACAAACTCCTCAGATTATAATTTTTTTTCCCAAATTACAATGTGAGCATCGTTTGAATTGGCGATAAGTGGTGTTGAAGAGCCGGAGCTAAGTGATGATGACGATGACGAGGATTTGTGACCGGGCGAGTTAGCATTATTATACCATACATGCCGCCAATAGCCCCGACCGCCGGTCAATGTGATAATAGTTCGTGGCCCATCGGCCTGTTGTTGCTGCTGTTGTTTGGCATTTTGTTTTTGCTTGCGTTTTAGTGTAGCCGTGGCTGCCGCTGGTGGCGGTGTTGAAGATGTCGCCGGTGTTGTTAAATTATTACCCGTTTGTTTATGCTGTTGCATAAGTTTAAAACCCTCCTCCGACTTAGGAGTACTGTGTACATCGGCCGAAGTCATGAGTCCATTTTCAGATATATTACCTAAATCACTGCCATTGCCGGAAGTTTTGTGACTAGCACTACTGCTATTGCGTGACACTGAACGTCCTCCAAACAATCGAATACCCATGCTTTCCTCACTGCCCGACGATGTATATAGGCTAGATGACTTCGAATCTACCGACCAATTAGAGAGATCCAAAGATCTGGGTCGCGATGCTTTCATACGTAAACGCCGATCCAAGGTGCTAACTCGGCCGGGTATGGCTGCCAGCTCCGGATCTGATCTGCGCATTCCTTCATACATCATATCCATTAAATTACCTTGCGTACCCTCGGCGGCATCATAATCCTCCTTGACGTATATTAGTTTGCCGTATAGACCATAAACATCACAATAACCATGTTCACTATGATTCAATGTGCTAGTGTTTGAGTTCAAACCTAAATTGTAATAGCCCGGCGATCCTAAACCACGTGGTAATGTTTTCGACATGCGGGCTGATTCCGTTGATAGATCTCTGAAACGTTTACGATGAAAAGCTGGCGAATTAGCTAAAGGAGCTCGAATTTTAGCCGAGAACGATTGATCCAGTGAAATTTGTTTGTCTAATTTAGAGCATCGAGGAGATGATGTTGCTGAATCTACACCTTCTGTACTTAACTCGCGTAACATAAGAGCAGACGGTGATCCGCAGCCTGAACTAATCTCCTCTTTAGGTAAATCCCTTCTTAGCACTACCGCCGATTCATCCAATTCAGCTTCGGCAATTTTTTTAGGATCTGCATCTATTGCGGGTAATTGCAAATCGTCGCCCATGCTAGGCACTACCGGTTCAGCAGCAGTACTTAACGCGTTTGCCATTGACTGATTGGTAGACGGTTTATAACAAGGATATACTTTGGATACCAAGGGTAATAAGAAAGTTATGGGACCGAAGTGAGCATGACACGACATGCTTATTCCTCCGCTAATTATTGGTACACCCTCTAAACGCGGTAAAGGTATGGTGACGGCTATTCCAACATTGGTACCTACCCACAATAAGCCCTTGCATGCCATTAAAGCTGTTACATAAATAGCACTGTTATTAACTGCTTGTTCCTTCTTACCGTCGCTGCGTAACACACTCGAAGCTATATTAATATCTTGCAAATGTTTAAAAGTCTCGGTGTGATACAAGCATAACATGGTTGAATTTTTAAGGGAAATCCATAAACCGATACCAGAATGAGCCATCAGGTTTACTTGCTGATTCGCACCATGATGAACTTCAAAACTTTTCTGTATCTCACCGTTTAGGGCGTTAAGAACATATACTCGGTTGGCGCAAGCAGCATAGATGTTCATATTGATGGGCAATAGGCTTGGCACCGACAACGATGATTCGCCTAATACAACTACTTGGGGATCTTTTAACATCCAAGCACCGTCGTAGGCTCGTCGATAGATTAACATCGTGGCATTAGATAGGGCCACATAAACGGTATCAAAATGATAGAGTATACGCATGACTGTACCGGTAACGGTACAGCAACTTAATTGCTCCTCCTGCTCTGGATTTTTGGCCGAATAAATTAAAATTTTTTGTGTATCAGTACCCATCCAGATAAGGTCGCCTAACAAGCTGTTGTACTCTTCGCGAGTTTTACAATTCTCAAGACCTTTAACAAATTCCATTGCTGTTATTTGACAATCGGTTATATCGAACGAGCCGACATCGCGTAAATTGCCGGCCTGTTGGATATGTTGTGAGAAGACGGTAATATGCGACACGGACCCATCACTGGTACATATCCACAAGTAGTTCAGCTGCTTGTGGCGGCGACGAGCATTGCCACTAATTTTTGAATCATTAGCAATGCTATAATAACATCCACAGCGTACCTAAAAAAGGATACAATTTAATTAAGAAAAATTTTATACTAAAAATTATGTTTGATGCGTGTTTACCTCCGTTTGATGCTGTGACTTGAGTATGGGCATTGCCTTGACAAAGAGTGGCATTTTATTTGATTGTCGCTGTACTAGTTGCATTTGTTGTTGCTGCTCATAGGCTAAACTTGAAGCAGCGATCGGATCGGTCGATGTTGTCTCCCAAGCGGGCGAATTATTCGTATCTAATGCCAGTTGAGCTAAGCGTAATTCCGTGACCCATTCTTTCTTCACATTAGGATTAATTGTCTGGAATGTGAAGGTTTCCTCTTTACCTGACTTGTTACGTGCCACCAATTGCAAGCAACATGAATCTACCCAAGCCATTTCTTCATTTTTACGCTGTATTGAGCTTTGAATCGAATTCATTACATTCCTGGTGATGTTCGTATTGAGCTCCTTATAAGTGCCCTTCAATGAACCAACCAGATCATTGATACGCGACACTACCTCATAATCATACATAAGATTACTCATCTCATTGCATAGGTTGTCGGCACCGCTTGTTAATAAGGCAGCTGTTGAACTGTCAAAGCTAGCATTTTGATAAACTGTGGGTGACGATGACGAGGTATTCGCCGGCAAAGTATTGGTTGAATAGTTGTTGCATGAACTACTGTTGGACTTAAGGCTTCCGCCACGATTAAGACCTAAATGAAAGGGTATAAAAATAGCTCGATTTTAGATCATTTTTCTTCTCTTGTTTTTTTTTTTTTTTTGAGTTTTGAATAAATTCCCGTTTCATATAAAAGAAAATCATTCCATTTTCATCAAAACTTTCTTTAAATGTTGAGAAATTCCATCGGAACTATTTAAAGTTTTGCATTTGTTTTTTTGTTTTTTTTTCTTGGTCTTTGTCACAAACTTAAAAAAAAAAAATTTCCATTAACCTACTTTTAGTGCAAACAGTAAATGTTCATTCCATCGTTCGTTAAGTAGTTATCAACATCTCATGCATCTCAAACAAGCGATCAATCTTCTTCATAACATGTCAATGACTCGAAACGAGAGTGAAATTTTTAATGTTTGTATTTTTGAAAAGAAAAGCTTGCAAAATTTTTCTAATAAATTGCGTGCACTTAAATGGCGTTCTCATCATAACAAACATCATGATGAGCAAAAAACAATAATAAGAAAAAAAAAAAAAAAAAAATACAAAGATGTAAAATGTGAATCAAATCAGAAAAGTAATACAACTAACTCTACAGCAGAAATAATAATAATAATAATAATAATAATAGTAACAACAACAACAAAACGAAGAAAATGCCACCTTCTTTTCAACTGTCAGTCATGATGGCAGCCAGCATAACATTAAAGCACCATTAAGTGCACATGATGAAAACCAGACGCATGCGTATTAACATGAATACAATGATCGCTCGTAAAGACGACATATAGATAGACGAATAAAACTTAGGGAGAGTTAGAGGAAAGGATACAACAAGACGGAAAAAAAAAAGAAGACAGACATAGCTGTGTGATGTTTTAAATCGAATGAATGGCTAAAGTTGTGCGCTTAGGTTGTTGCGTGGTTTGATTTGTTTGTTTAATTTTCACATGATAGCTGCTTTGTTGCGCGACTTTAAATATTCGAATAGTGAATGGTCTTCGACAAGCGAAAACGCTGCACTTTTCGTTGTTTTTATAGCCGCTTTTATTGTTGTCATTTTCCTTTTATTTATTTATTTATTTATTTTTTTTTTTTTTTCACTTCTTTCACCACAACAATATTATAATATCTGTAATGTCATGATGATGATAATTACGATGATGCCGATTATCAATATTATGATTTTGCATCATTGTGTGAAATTTAAAACTTTTCGTAATGAAACGAAATGAAAACGAAATGAAAAAACAAAGACTGCAATAAAAAGGCTGCATTTAAGTCTTGGCGGGAGGGGTGGACCCTTGGATGCCCAGCACTATTCAAGCACTATGCAACTATATAAAAATTTTGCAAAATTTCTCCCCGATTGAGAGCGCATTAGTGAATCGATCGATCGGAAAATTTTCCTAACTAATCACATCACATTTCATACATTGATATGTATGTCTGTTTGTCTGTTGTCTTTCATCGATCAATTGATAAAAATATTTTAAAGTTTTTTTTTTGATTTTTTTTTTTTTTTTTGGTTTTTCGTCTTTTCACTATCGGGGATTTTCAAAAGAGAACCAACCAACTCTATATGCGTTTGCCTGTATTGAAGTTATTTCCCGACTTTTTTAGGATGCAAATTTTCAACGATCAACTATCTATCCACCCAATGATGAAAGGAGAGTCGCGGAAAGAATTAAATAATAAATATGCGATTTTGTCTGTCGCGAATGCTGGCAATGATTCGAATTTATGGTCAGCTTTAAGCAATAGAACCGACTTGACGACCTTCAATATTTCTTAGCTTCAATACAATCTGCAAAAGAAAAGATGATCTGTAAGTAGGCAGACATTCTTAACGGGAAACTCAAAAAAGCTCTTTGGGTGAATCATATTCACTTATGAAATTCATATGCGTTTGCTTCTCATATTTAGATCTTGTGACAATTTCCGCAAGCAACTTTGATTCTTTCTCCGTTTGTTAATCGATCCATTTATCATATGATATTAAAACTTTCGCAAAAATGCAAATAAAACGAGGAGATAAAGTAATAAATTTTTTTTTTTTATATATCTAGACTAGTTTCACGATCTCTCATAAACGATTTAATGAAATAATGCTCGTTGCTGGATTGAACAAAAGACATGTTGTATCAATCTGTGGTCTTTTTTCTAAGCTCTCTAACGAATATATCGATTTCGAGCATCTCAATACGTCCCCTTATATCAAGCCTTTCTTTCATTTAGTCCTTGTATTTCCTATTATTATTATTATTATTATTATTATTATTATTATTATTATTATTATTATATTAACCTCGCTAGAAAAACAAAATTTTAAGAGTAAACTCTTAAAGCACTAGCATCGGGTAGCTAGCTATTGGCTTTTATTAAATAACCCTACCGTACTTGAGATTCGAACCCACGACCATTGAGTTGCTAGTCGAGATTTCTCGCCTTCGATCACTCAGGTGGATCTTCTACTTATTAATTGCCTTCGAGCAGCTGTTTTCATTTCATGCCCTATCTTCACAGGGTAGACTTTTTAAAGCATATAAAGATTTCTTTTTTAATTGCGAATATTTCCAAAATTCGTGATACTGCGTATATTAATTTTATGCGTATATATGTACCATTCAGATAGATTTCAGATAAGTTTGTCTCTTATTGCGTCTGGCGGTTTGCCCATATGATATTTGTCTATGTTTTCTTGTCTTCCAGATATTTAGATGAAATTTATTACGCTTGCGCGTTTTGACCCAATTGAAAACCCCACTTTCTCTACCACTCTCCATATAACGACTAATTTTTGAAAAAGGCATTATATGAAAAAAAATAGAAATCTTTAAAAATTTTCTCAATAAAAATGGCCGAGTAAGAACAATTTGACATTTTAAATTGATGTGAAAAATATCGTAAACGTAAAGGGGAACATTGGAATTTGGACATTGTCCCATAATAGATTTTTAATTAAACGCGTCAAAATTATATAACATTTCATGGTTCAAAAAATTAGTTTGATATAAACAATAAATTTGGCAATGCTTTGGATCAATTAGATCTATTGTATAGACGTTACAGCATATATGTAGGAGCTTTCATCAATAATAAGCTATTATATGTATATGTATAGGTATACTTTTTAACATTTTACGATAATATTCATATTAATATTCATACTAATAACTTTATAGAAAACTAGTTGTAGCCGCACAAGTTGAACCGCACAAAGTCCATTTCTTAGATTTAGTTTCCTTTATAAAAGAATTCCCAGATGAAAGGAGGAAGCCTAGTAGGTTTAAGACGAATCAAATCTTTGAGAAGAAGAATAATTTTGTTACATTTGGGTCATGTCATATATGGAATTTTCATCAAAAGAAGAGCTCGCATCAAAATGATGCCTTTATTTAGGAAACAACATCTTTGGCATTTTATCACGAAAGTGAAATGAAAAATTGCATTAAAAGAAACAACTTAGGGTATTTATAAGTTGGCCTTGCCCAATTATAATATTTTTACTTGTTTTGTGTGATGTCACAATGGTAGCTTGCTAAACGTAAATAAATGCATAAAATTCCTTGCCGGGAACAATCCACTGCATCTGAAATATATATTAATTATGTGAAAATTGTTCGGGCATTCGGGTCATTCAGCATTAGCCATTTGTTCCTTAAAAGCTTAATAACTGTTGTAAAAATTTCTCATTATACCCCATATGTTTATAATGTAGAGAGAGAGAGAGAGAGAAACTATACATATATCTATAGGTCAACTCGAACGATTTCAAACAAAATGTTGTAACGAAAGCAATGAAATCGCTCTTAGCCTAAACACAGTACAAGATCATGTTCATCATATCATACGATATTTTAATTCTTTTATTATTATTTTTTGTTTTCTTTATTTTCTGCACACATACACCCAATAATATATGTATGTAATATTTTCTTGTCTTGTCTATATAAAAGTTCCATAAGGTTAGAGTACGCATTAAAAGGCGCTACATTTTGGAAATTTAATCGACAAAGTGATCTTAAATGTTTGTTGTTGTCAATTTTTATTTATCACTTTCTCTGAGTTTTTTTTCCCTTTTGATTGCCCATAATGCTTCATTCCTAGCTAGACAGTATGTAGAATGATGAGTCGTAAGAGATGATGTGATTAGCTATGTGTTCAAAGTCTTTCACACCTCAGTCGAAATAAGGCATGGATCAGTGGACACTGTACTGCGTGAGAGATAATCTATTTCTAGTCAATAAATATGTGTTACTCGCTTGAGTATGTCCGACCAAGTGAAGAAAGAATATTAGTTTCATTGGTGGCCAAATCAGTAAATGGCCTTCAAGCTAAAAATTTATTTTGAAGCCAGGCGTCACTTTATGAAGACTTTTTGAAAGCAAGTATAAAGGGAGAGACATAGGCCAGACAGCCTTAAATGATTTATTAAATGATTTTCAATTGTTTCAAGTCGTTTTTACGCATAGACATAAACATAGGCATATCGTTGTGCTTCAAACAATTCAAAATATAATAAGAAGAAGATTGAAGATTAATTTATTGTAAAATTTATTGCAGATAGATTTGTTCTTAGTTAAGCTTCTCCTCAAAAGCAAAAAGCGGATACGATTCATGCTTTCATCCAATGAACATAGTATCCAAGGCGAGTTTAGGAGGCTAGAACTTATTCTCTAAGTAAAATTCATCCGTGACTCTAGGACGGAAGATATTTTGCGATTAGACTAACGTTTAGAGGAAATGTTATGCAGAGAATAGAGTTTTAAGAAACAATTAATGATAACGAGAATAAAATAAGTTTGCGTTTACTAACAAGGCACAGGGCTTTGCTATAACATACTATAGGAGAGAAGAGAAGAGAATAGAAGAGAAGTGCTTGATAGTTTCGATCACTTTTTCTTAACGTAATTTCCCCATTGCAATCATCTAAGTGCTCTGTCACTAACTTAGATTGTTGCATGTTTTTTCGTGAGGTTGGTTTACTTTACGAACACTAACAACATAACATTGGTATTGTTATTTGAGATAATGTAACTCTTAAAGCAAATGCCAGATAAATTAATTTTTGATTATGCAAAGTGTATCGGGCATATGACTCATTGATTTGTTCTGCTCGGCAGGTTACGCAACCGATAAAATTTTGATTTGGTACGAGTTGGACTCTAGATGTTGGGTTAAAAAAAAACAAAAACTAAAACTAAAACTAAAATAGCAATTACTTCCTAGCATTAATAAAGTCTTCTTAGCATTGGTTATGTTTGGTTGGTTGTTGTTCTGTTTGTATTAATTTCGAGTGATTTCGTGTCAATAAACTAACTCACTAATCAATAACAACAAACATGAATAAACAAACATTGGCATTCGTTGCGAATGTATTGCAACTTAAAAAACAAAATAAAAAAAAAAAAAAAAAAAAAAATCTTTATTTTTCTTTATTCCTTTTTTGTTTGTTTTCCAACAAACTTAACCTTTATTCGAATCTTTAAAGACACAAAACAATACTGTCACTGTACCGTATTGCATTCATTTATTGTTTTATTTGCTCTATTGACGGTTGTTGGTGGTTTCATGTCAAAAACATTTTGCTTTTCATGTTAATTTGTTGATTTATGCAATTTGCCAATATTAAGAAAATAGAAAAAGAAAAAAACAAAAAAAAAAAAAAAAATCAGACACAAAAGCAAAAAAAATCATAATTATTGCATTTCAATTTCGATACGAATAGCAAATGCGCAGCCAAACGGAGCTTGTGAGTGAAGCGAAAAGGGTATGGTTTCCGCTACGGTTTGACTTTGGATGTGAATGGATGGATGGATGAATGCATGATTATACAGACAGACGACATACATAATAAATGGTTAAAGAGATAAATAAAGTGAATTTTTATGGTTTGTTTTTCGAGCAAGAAACGCTAAAGAAAAAACGGAAAACGATCAGAAGGCCTAATCGTTTGCGTTTTAAAGACAATGGATTTTAAATGGTAACCGAGTTTAAAACTTATTTCTGGATACACTACGTCATGCTACCTATCATAATACAAGATTTTTGCGCAAATTTTTATTTCTTTTTTTGAATTTAATCAAAATATATGCAAATAATTTCTAAAATTCTTAAAAAAAAAAAAAAAAAAAAAAAAAAAATATGTGATTTATCATGTCCGTCCTATCGAAATGAATCTATCCGAAAATAATGCGTCTAAGTATTTGTCTTCTGGCTTTTTTTTTTTTTTGTTTTTTTTTTTTAAACGAACCCTGACGAGTAATATATGAAAAAATGTTGCCTATTTTACGGCTCAGTGTTAGTTAGTTTTCAAATGCATTATTAAACTTAATATACCTGTGCAATGGCTAATATGTGGCTACAATACCAAAAAACAAAAAAAAAAAAAAAAAAAAAAAAAAGGTTTAAATTTTCTTTTCTTTTATTGTTTTGTGTATAGAGAGTTTTTTTCTCAAGTCATTTACTATATGGCGATTGTAAGACACCAGAAAATTTATTGTGTTTAGAAAACAGAAAAACTAACGGAAAATGTATAAAACGCGACACAACTTCCCAAAACGATAAAGATCATAAAACATTAAACGCGGAAATTTCTAAAGCAGCGGCCTCCCAACAAAAAAAGGGAAAGTCATTGATAGTCGCATGAAGATGGATGGCTATAAGCCTTTGGAAGCATAAAAAAAAAAGCTTTGTTTGGTGCTTGCTTGCCTTTTTTTTTTTTTTTATTTTTGTTTTTGTTTTCATATATATATATATATATATATATATATATATATATATATTTGTTTTTTTTTTGTTATTGTTTTTGTTTTTGTCTTTGCACACTCACCTGCAGTTAATATTCTTGATAGAGTAGCGGAAGTACTATTGTCTACAATTTCCACATCCGTTACCGGATACATCCATTTGAATGTTAGCTTCTCGGTGGCACCAAAATCATGCGATTGCTTGGGTGCCACCGATACACAAATCACTTTATCGTTAAGCAATAGCAAACGTCTCTGCTTCGATTTCACTATGAAACCGGCCTGATTGAATTCCATATGCGTGACATTATCCTCACGTAAAAGATAGCGTTGTCGATTATTTTCCGTCGATGCCAAAGATCGTGTATTAAAAGTGCCACTGATATGGCCGAGCATTTCTTTGAAACCCTGATATTGTTCTGCTTCACGTTTACGTTCGTTTAACATTTCGGCTAATAATTCGAGCTGAGTCAGAGCCAATTGCAATGACATACGATCGTGATGACCTTGCGGGGTATATTTGAGTAGATCCTGTAGGAAAAGTATAAATTGTGGAAAACGTTGCACCGGCTTAACCATTAAACCGAAAAAGCTGAGACGATCATGGGCACTGATTTGCTTGACTTTAAAGAAATCAGCCAAAGCCGATTTGCGTTTCTCTTCCATTTTGGCCAGTTCCATGGCTGCGGAGAAATTATTAATGAAACCCGAATAAATTTCAAGGATACGCGGCTTGCTAAATGCTCCAACGAAACAATCTCCTAACTTCTCATCACGATCCCAATTACGTACACATTCGGCTAAGGCGATGCGAAACAGTTGATGTGATTGCAAAATTTCCGGTAAACGATGGAATAGCGTACCAATTTTATTAACACTCAATATGGGTGGATTACTATCTTCGAGAGGTTTTTTGTAATCCTATTCAAAAAAAAAAAAAAAAAAAAAAAAAACAAAAAAAAGAAAAGAAAAGAAACAAAACAAAAGGAAAGAAGAGAAGAGAAGATTATTAGCAACATTTCAACTTTGCATTACCGTAAATTCCAACACTCCAAGAAGAGACAAATTTTTTTGAAATATTTTTTAATTAATTTTGTTTCTTCGTTCGATCCCACACACACACAGACACACACACACACACACACACACACACACACACATACACACACACAGACACATACACATACATACAGACACACACATACATACATACAGACACACACACACACACACACACACACACACACATATACATACATACATACACACAAATCCATATCTTCTTATTTTTTTTTCAAGTACCCTTTATTAATTTTTAGTAATTTTTTTCTATATATTTTACATGATGTATAATTTCTTTTTAGCTTAATTTTGCAACTATTATAAGTTTTTATTTTTTTTGTTTTTTTTTGTTTGTTTTTTTTTTTTGGTTTTTTTATAATTTAGTTTTTAGAAGAGATGAAGAATATAATGATTAGTAATGATGGTGGTTGTGGTGATGGTTAAATTATCGATACATAGCGTAACGTAGGGAGGAAGAATTTTATATTTGGTGGATGGCATGGTATGGCATGGCATGTAAAGAAAAATATTATAATTATGGATTAATTGTAAAATTCATAAAATGGTTCTACAGGTTCTACAAAATAATAATTATTAATGAAGCTGTTAAACTTAAAAAGAGTACTTGAGTAAAACGAAGCAACTGCAATGTCTACATGCAATAACTATTATTTATACATATATATATATGTATATATATATATATACAATCAATATGAACTAATCATAAAGAATAATGTAAACCCATAGACCCAAAGACCCAAAACCCAAAGACTTTTTCATATAAAATTGAATTTTGGCTCTAATAGCTCGCGAGCACGTGGCCTGTTGATCGTAGAGGTACATATTGGAATTACTTAAAAATATACCCTTCAGAAATGCATTAGCAGCTTAGGTGCTCGGCTCTTATCGTCTATACCCATTTTTGTCTTCTTTTTTTTATGTCAGAGCTAAAACGGCTAAGTTATCAACAAATCTGATAACTTTTAACTTCCCCATCGAACCATTGATATCCAGTGAAGTCTCGAACGATTTCAATACAAAATGAAGTCTGATATGTATGTAGCGAAAAATGTAATAGACGAAGTTTTCGCTTGCGACGATTCGAAATGATTAAGCGAAGCGAAATGATAGGTGATGAGAATTGTGTTGAACAGGACAATAACTTAGTGGAAGAACTGAAGTTGACGCCATTTAAAGCATTGATCTAGGTTTGGTAAGATTGGAAAGAAATTGTTCATCATGAGCTGTTCCCTTTCTAAAGCCAAAAATTAATGCGATCATAGTGATGTGTTCACAACTAAACATCATAAGAGGCGTCATATTTAGATTACGAATACGTTTATCTTTGTTTTGGGAATTTTCGCCCATCCTTAACCTGTCCAAATACAATTGGTTTTGTCCTCAAACAAAAAAAAAAAAAACACGCTTAAGACTTAAAGGCTGACTTGAGAAGAAACCTGTGAAAATTATTTGACTCAATTTCCCGTCCAGAAGAATAACATAAACTTATCAATCAGAATGGCTTAATGGGTTTGGTCTAATGTTATATTTTCGATCATTTAAAGTAACGAAATTATGCACAAAAGTCGTCAGCTATGGCGTACGAAATTCGATAAAGAATTTGAATGAGTTGCAGTTGGGATGTATATATATCTACTTATCCCAAATATGATAGATAATGCGCGCCCATCGTGTATATCGCATATATATTCTTTGGAATTAAATAAACAAAATACAAACATATAAAAAAAAAAAAAAAAGAAGAAAAATATTTAAATTTAGTGAAGAAAGTAAAGAAACGAATCCACAATTAATAAGAATGCGGCTAGTGTTGAAAGTGTAGGTCTCTTGGATTTATTTGTTTTAATTATTTCAATTGCAACAATTCGTGCAATTTCTAAAATGAATTTCGTGCAAAAAGAAACTTGCAAAATGTGTAGACGCTTAAGTTGCTTCGGCTACTTACATTGACTAGACGTTGCAGGGTTGCCACATATGAATTTTCACTGTGTACGATAGCGGCGACAATGTGACGTCGCTTTAATTGTTGCTGTGAGAGACCGGGTGGCGCTGGCGGTAGCATTGGTTGCATCAAGCGATTGTGAGTTGTTCGGGCCGTTCCATTGGCGCGACTACCAGGCGGTATCATTAAATCCAAATCGAATCTATTAGTCGATGCGGTCAATGAAGACGTTTCATCATCTTCATTCTTTAACGCATACACGAGAAACATAAATAAAATATATATATATGTCGTTATTAATACAATTTTGTTTCCTCCATTCTTTCTTAAACTGCAATCTTTAGTCATCGAATAAAATAATAAAAAAAATGTACGCTACTTGAAACTTACATCATTTGTGATGCAAGATAGAGTATGTAAGAGTATGCCAAGATTGCGCGGATATATGTAGCACTTAAAAAACGACTTAAGATAAACCCACCTTTGGTTATACCATTTGACTCAAAATCATTTGATCTAAGCTTGTCTGTTCATAACATAATGTCTGTCCAAGTATTCTTGTATTCAATCTTGATAAATTTGATATAATGGCACGTTTTGATCCAAGCAAAAACCTCTATCAAAAATGGATTGATTCGGACCAGTTTTTCGAAAATGTCGTTATGGTAAACTAAATTAGAACTTTTCACATTTCTCGACAAAATTCGCTGACTAATTGCACGAAAACTTGAACGAAAAACGCCTTCTCCTTCATAGGGTAAGGTTTGATTTTCAATATTTCATAGTGCAATTTTTACCACAATAGTAATTAGCCTGGTCGAATTTGGAGCATATAGGTGTACTTCCGCGATTATTTACCTTGCAAGGTTTTTCATGACAAAATAAATTTTTCATTTAGCAAAAATGTGAAATTTTTCAAATTTTATGGTGAAAGTTAGGCTCACAAGACTCGTTCTGATGTAAAGCATTACTTTGTCAAATTTCGGATCAAATAGGTTTACTTTTTTTTCGGCAATATGGCAAGCAACGGCGACCATGATAAAATAATTCCTTATATGGCACAAAGGTTTAATATTTAGTATATGATGAGGAAAATTGTTCCGTAATAATGTGATATTTGGCGATTGTATATGTGTTAGGTGTCCTGCCTGGACATGCTTAAAATTAATGGGAATCTATTGCATACAATTTTGTGTATTAGTCTTACCTCTGGTACGCCGGGCATTTTATAGGCAGATTTTGTTGTATGAGCAGAATTTGTGAGCTTTTGCGTTACACTCATGTGTGACGTTCCGTCGCAAACTGTATCTGAATAGTCGATACTAGACGAAGTTGATTGCCGTCCATCCCTCCCGCCAACATCGTACTGATGCGAAGAACCGCGTTTCATTGAAAACCACCTTTGCAATCTACCGCCGGGTGTTTCCCCTGGCGTTGTAATATCTTCCCTAGATGGCTGATGAGCGGTTGGCATTATGCTGCACGTAGTAGTACTGGCTCGTCTAGTTAAAGTACCGCTTCCTCCTGCGGCGTTATTACTTGAATTTGTGCTGTTATCAGCAGCGCAATTGTTTACATTGCCCGGCGAGCGCCATTTGTCAAATGACAAGTGCTGTTTGGCGCGATTAAAGGTCGAACGCAATTGGGAATTGCGTTGATTTGTAGCACTGAGCGATGACGTTGCGCTGCCGTTTGCCTTCTCTTCGTGTGCCAATTCCTCGTCTTCCGAGGAGATACTGGGATTTGGCGACTTGTTGTGTGCTTCGGTAGGTGTATGCTCACCTCGTTCAGCTGAGCACCAACTGTCGTCCAAATGTTTTTGAACACCTGCTGAATTCGGTGCTGCGGAGGTAGCGGATGTAGACGATGTTACACCAACGGCAGAGGTGCCGCCGTTGGCGTTAAAACTGCCGCCGGCTATTGTGTTGCCGCTTAATTTAACTGAAGCAGCACCACTGGGCAATTGCTGCTGTTGCTGTATGGCCGCTTCACTGCAGCGGCTTATGGCACTTGTATGTATATGATGATGATGATGATGATGATGATGATGGTGCGGTTGTTGTGAATGCTGTGGTATAATTAACGTTTGCAAACCGCCACGTACTTCAGGTCGTTTCAATATCGATATGTTATGTAATTGTGCTGTAGTTGTGGTCACGTTGTTGCCGTTGTTGGGATGATGTGCACTTGGCTGGACGGCTAATGGATTGATATTGTTATTTTGAGTTAAGGCAGATGGAAGGGAATCTTCCCAAGAGCCGGCATTCAATTTGGACTCATCTGAAATAGAAAAAAAAAAAATGCGTTTTTGTCATTAAAGTAACTTAAAATATTCTACTCTTATCTTATACCGCTAAAGTGAAATATTTTTATGTGTAGCATTAAAATTTTTAAAAGTCCATTAAATCCGACGACGGCAACTTAAATGGTTATATAAAAGTTTATGAGTGACAAAAAAAAAAAAAAAAAAAAGAAATACTACTTTAGTGCAATAATGTCTCATAAGAACGAAAAATGCTTACGAAACTTGTTCTTGAATGGCTGGAGATTGTGGTAGAAACCTACATTCACCCACTCACAATAAGAGATTGAATAATGGTTCAACGTTTACGCTTTTTATGTTAAAAAAAAAAAAAAAAAAAAAACGCGATTATACAATACACATTACGACGTAGTTTGATTATGTCATTTTTGTTCGGCTAAGAAACCAACTCACTTAGAACATGCAATTGTTAAGCAAAAGTATCGCAAATCCGCACTGAAGTCACAACGACTTAAAGGGTGTTGTCTATTTTTAATGCTTCAGTCATAACGACGGGCAAAATTTCACGTAATTTAAAAAAACAAAAAAAACACAAGTAAGAAAATTAAATTCGGTCGGGACCGAATCTTTTTTACCCATCGTCGCACCGTTTATCCCACAAAAAAAGGACAAAAGAAGTAACAGAATAAAATTCTCACCCTCTAATAATATGGAGCAGGCACTGTTGATTTCTTCTATTTTCAAAATAAAAGTTTTTGTCATAGAGGCATATGGGTGTTGTACGTGTACGTGTGTCCTTTAAAAAATTTTCTTATATAAATTCTTTTGGAAATTTGTAGGCGATATCTTCATTTTCGTTAATAGGAGAATGTTTACCACAAATGCTACAAAGTTGCGCAAACAGCCCGATGGACGGACGGACGAACAGGCGGACATATTTAGGTGCATTCAAGATTTGTAACTGACTAAGAATTTATACTTTAGGGTGTTTCTGAAGCGTGTTTTTACGCGTTCTAAAGATATTCAGAAAATTATTAAATTTTCATACACCATAATATTGGATAGGCGTGGTAAATTTTTGTCCATTTTTGTGCACAAATGCTACAGCATTGCCCATAGAATATATGTTCAAATTTTTGTACATTTATTTGCTATAGTTTATGACTAATGAGCGAAAAAACCAATTTTTCATTCCTTTTTTTTAAACAGAGGTATTCTCAGTTTACGTTGTGCTGTGGGCGTGTCCTTCGACTAATTTAATCCATCTTCAATACCAACCTGCGTGCAAAAACTTCCAATGCTTCTGCTAAATTTCAAGTCGATAGCTTTATTTATGTCTGTTGACAATAGACATTACACGGACGGACAGACGGACAGACGGACGTGTTTACATCGACTTGGAATTTGTTGCTGATCAAGGATATATATAATTTGTGGGGTATGTAATCCTGCCTTCTGGGCGTTGCCAAATGTTTTGTCAAAATGAATATACCCCTCATCCTTGATGGTGATGGGTGTAAAAAAAAAAAAAAAAAACAAATAAAATAGAATAAAATAAATGAATAAAAACATAAATTTTTTTATAGGAAATTGCGTTTTAAATGCTTCGCAAAATTTGCGGAAAGGCTTTAGTGTTAATAAAATCTACATAAACGTTGTAACAATCGGAGCAATTTCGGGATATCTATCGTCTTAAATTAATACAGGGTACGTATAGGATTGTGAAACGCTCGTATATAGGCGATTGCAAATTTTTTTGTCTTCTCCGGGTGATCATTAATGGAGGCCATAAAGTAAGACAAGCAATGAAGAAATTTCCAGTAATCATAGGCTGGCATGCGCAACACATTTCTCTTTAGAAGCATCAAATTTTCGTTATCACGCTCGACGTCGATTCCTATACAAGGGAAAAAGGGAAAAGCGAAATACATGAAAACTTCTGTAAGCGTTTTGTAAGCGTTTCTTAACGGAAACTATTCCAAGCTCATGAAAAGCCCTAATCTGTTAACTTGTCCATGAAATCTTTCATCTTTAGAGAACAGCTTATGTCGATTCATGCCGGGAATTAAGAATATTTTTAGGCAAACTTCACTTAAGTAAGCTGAAGCATGTTGGAGACTTTAAGAATTATCGGAATATCGCAGAATAATTAATTTCAGCACTAGGCATTGGAATATTTTCCCAACTTCTGTGACCTTACGAGTGTAGAGTTTCTATAAGCACATCATCCTATACCAACGATCGCTTGATTCCGCAGACCTCAGTACCTGATAGGCACACATTCATGTCTAAGTAGCAGACGGTTCAAGAAGGTCTATGCTTGATAAGATTTCTGATATTTCCCTTCGGTGAAGCGTATAAAAGTTAAGTACTGCAGAGATATGGATTACAAAATTTTCTTTTTCTTATTTTACATTATTGCCTAGTACTGATGTTGTTGGCCACTTTACTGACTTGGCTTTATCGTAGATTATATTAACCACTAAAACATTTAATCGATGGATTACAGTCCCTGTGTTAAGTTTCGTCATTCCCTTTGCAACAACAAAACAAACAGTTCAGAGAAGTTATCAAGTATGAAAGTGAGATGTGTTAACTTGATTTAGCCACGCTTGTCCAACGACGGACGACTTAGGATTACTAAAATTGAAGCAAAGGGTTAAAAAGTTTACTTAGGAATTTTATAATATATCAGCAAACACAGAATCGACGTTACAATGGCTTTCGTCGTCAATGGAGATGCCAGAAATATCAATGCGTGAAGATAGGCGTAGAAGGATGTTTAATCGCTTCTCTCAAAGAAACGAGAAAATTTCTTAATAATTTTTTGAATTGCAACTCGGGCTCGAAATAGCTTTTAAATCGTGTCGGCTATTTGTGCGAAATCTAAACTTGACGCCACCTTTGAAAACCATTGAGAAAAGATGGCACTTTTCAGTTGTGTTTTGCTAAAGCGAATGTTTTACTTACACGATTGCTTGATAAGGAGAAAGGATATCAGAAATCGATAACTGATCGTTAATACAATTGCGAATTTTATCTCAAACTTTTATCTTAAGCGTGTTTTGTGTTTAAATAAGAAAAAATTTATTTGAAAGAATTTTAAAATTATTAGCCGAACAAAGTGCTCGATTACGAGCGCTTAGCCTATAGCTTAGTGATTCGTGGTGAAATGTGTGGGTGGGTGTGCTGATGCGTTGATGATTTTTCGTAATTTTCGTTAAAGACTTGATTTTGCATTGACAACCCTATCGAATTTGTTACTTGCACCAAACTGTCCTGACTGCTTTTCATTTTTTTGTTTGTTTTTTTTTTGTTAATACCTTTTTTAAGATATTCTTGTATTTTAATATAAAACTATTCGTAAATCTTAAGAAAATGATTAATGAACATTATTAAGAGTTTGGGATTTCATCACTGAAAAGTTTACGTTGCTTTATCTTTTACATTTTCAGATTTTTTGGTAGATAAATTTTTGATAGCAAACCGGTTTATCATTATTGGTAAAGTAACAAAATTAAGCTTCCATTAAAGAGTTTTGTTGACAGTTTGAAAAATTGGTAGTCGTATCGATTAGAGTAACTTATCGAACGCCCACATAAACTTGCGCAGGTCTGTAGACCTGCAAGAATTTTACATTTTGTTTTTTTTGTTTTTTTCTTTAGTTTTTGTTGTTGTCTTTCGGTTTTTTTTACTCAATGGCAACTTTTATGAATGCATTCATAATTGATTTTGTCTACCCACCATTATCGGAACGGTATGTTAGTTTTGTCAATTATTGTATGTATTTTTTTTGTGTCACAAAAATGGCCATCAGACATGCATTATGAATCTCTGTCCGTCTGCATATTTCAACATTCAGCAAATTCGATCGTAAATTATTTCGTTTTATTTCTATTATATAAAGTTGAATATCATCATTATAATCGTTTTAAAAGTTGGCCTAAAATTAGTAGTAAGTAATAATAGTAAGCTTTTCATTTTCGAATATTAAAGTTAGTATTGAATAATTATTCGGGTATCAGTAAAATCTATCTGCGAAATATTCCCAAGTGTACGATTAATATGTGGCAATGTCTGGCAATAGAACTGCTTCGTATGTAAATAAAATGCAATATGAAAACATGACTTTCAGTTTGTAGTACGATGATAGGAGACTAAACAAGAGCTACCAAGTTGTATTGTGTTGCAAATACACAAATATCGACCGCATCATCTATATATATATATATATATATATATAAAGAGAAATTTGCTCTTTCTTGCAATTAAATACCGGGTGCTATCAAGATATGGTATCCGAGCTAGGGGAGGATACGGATAGATTCGGCTTAAGTCAAATGCAATTTATTTTATTACTGTTTGCTCTTTCTTACTCGAAATTCGTATTCTAAGACTTTTTTTTTTTTTCTTTTTATAGGAACAAAATCCAGTTTCGATGTTATTAACATCAGTAGAAGTATTTCGAGTAGTGATGTCTGGCAAGTCAGCCTCCGAAATTGCAAACGCATATAGTAATACAGAAAGGAATATGTGCGGAGATACCCAAATCAATGTGTTGTGTTTATATTTGCTTGATAAACTTGTATTGAATTGGGGTGACCAGCCGGTGGCTTAACTTTTAAAGAGTTTTTTTTTTCCCCTCCTCTGTCAACTAGACTTTGTTTAAAATATTTTTTTTTTTTTTTTTAATAATTATAACCATTGTTAAAACGCAGCTATATACGTAAGATATTTTTGTTATTTTCTTTTTGAGTCCCTTCAAAGCAAGTCAGAGCAATTTGTTAGTTGGGAGTTTAACAAAAAACTTTACTCATTTAATAAATTCTTTAAGTGACCGTAAAGCGTAGTAATTCTTAAGCGTAATTATTGGGCAACGAATTGTTGGATTTTGATTTTGATTTTGAATTCCTTTTCAAGTTGATCTTTAATCTACTAACTAAAGTTTTTTCTATAAAGCTACTAATGTAAAAATATAATTAAAAAAATTTTCCTTTTTAATGTGTAATGTAATCGC